GGGGCTGTGCGCTGTATGGGGAGGGCTGTGCGTTGTATGGAGGGGGGTCTGTGAGTTGTATGGGGGGGGTGCATTGTATGGGGGTGGGGTCTGTGAGTTGTAAGGGGAGGGGCTGCACATTGTATGGAGGGGGGTCTGTGAGTTGTAGGGGGGTGGGGTCTGTGAGTCATATGGGGGGGTGTGCATTGTATGGGGAGGGGCTGCACATTGTATGGGGGGGGTGCATTGTATGGGGGGGCGTGCAGTCCAGTATTCAGGATCCAACCCGGGATTTCTGCGCTCACCCCATCATGTTGTAAAACCGTTCACCCCAAAGTCCTGGTACTCAGCCACCAAGGGACCCCTTTGCAAGACCAATTTTGCACCCCCCCCCCCCCCCGTGTGATTGACAGCTGGATATACCCAGCCATGTCCAGGTCTGTGGGGTGGTGGAATGGTCCCTGAATAAATCTGATATAAATGGGCCCCTGCAGTCCCAGGGGGCCCCCGTACAGCTGCACAGTCTGCCCGGGTCGTACACCCACCCCTTCTAGTATGCCGTTAAGAATCCAGAAAGGACAGAGATGGATTCTGAAGCTGAAACAGGCGTGTGAATGGATTTACCAGGACGTGTGATTCTGTTCGGGGTCCGGTCTTGCGAGTCACGCACCCCTGCCGGAGGGTGGCACCACCATTTCCTGCTTCAGCTTTGCTTGTCCCGTCTCTTCACGGGAACCTATAATGGCAGGAAATGGAGGCGACCTCGATCAAATACCTGGAAAAAAAGATATTTCTGTTACTTTTAGGGCCGATTTGCACCAGGATCGCGTGGGAACGTGCGTTTGGTGCGTTTTAAAAGCCCAGGATTACATGAAAGGTAGCGCTTGCAGTGATTTTCTAAATGCGCTGCTCCGTGGTGTGCGTTTGGGGTGCCGAGAACAATATACATCGATCACAAGGGTAGCGCTCTCGGACGCGGTGCACGCAATGTGCCTTCCCGCACCGCTTTCTGCCGCGAACCGACTGTTGGGTTGTCAGACACATAAAAGTCACAGCCGGGTGAATGTGGTGGAGCTGAGCTCTAATATAGAACTATAGAAGGTGGGCCGCGTTCAATTTTCAGCGCTGTCACACTTTGAATGACAATTGCGTGGTCATGCGACACTGTACTCACATGAAAATTATATAATTTTTTCACTGGCACTGGCGGGGCTGCACTGATGGGCACTGGTGGGGCTGCACTGATGGGCACTGGCGGGGCTGCAGTGATGGGCACTGGCGGGGCTGCACTGATGGGCACTGGCGGGGCTGCACTGATGGGCACTGGCGGGGCTGCACTGATGGGCACTGGCGGGGCTGCACTGATGGGCACTGGCGGGGCTGCACTGATGGGCACTGGCGGGGCTGCACTGATGGGCACTGGTGGGGCTGCAGTGATGGGCACTGGTGAGGCTGCACTGATGGGCACTGGTGGGGCTGCAGTGATGGGCACTGGTGGGGCTGCAGTGATGGGCACTGGTGGGGCTGCAGTGATGGGCACTGGTCCGGATGCACTGATGGGGCTGCAGTGATGGGCACTGGCGGGGCTGCACTGATGATGCTGTAATGATGGGTACTGGTGAGACTGCACTGATGGGCACTGGTGAGGCGTCACTGATGGGCACTGTTGGGGCTGCAATGATAGGCACTGGTGAGGCTGCAGTGATGGGTACTGGTGAGGCTGCAGTGATGGGCACTGGTGAGGCTGTAGTGATGGGCACTGGTGAGGCTGCCCCCCCCCCCCTCACCTGTTCCTATATATTCTTTGCACCCCTCCCCCTCCTCCATATTGCGCCCCCCCCATACTATAGGACCATAGACTCCGGTATCGGGAGATGATTTCCATGGCTGCCGATTCATTGATCGTTTCCTCTGTATGAAGCCGGGAATTGATACTTTGTATAATCCTTTCCTGTACGATGGAAAATGTTTTGTACCGATTGTGTTGGTGAGGAAGAACAAATCTACCAAAACCTTCCATAGCAATTCTAGAGGCGGATGGGGGGGGGGGGGGGGGGGGATTTACTCCTCACGGGACAGAAGATCGGGATTTGCTGTACAGGAAACAATAAAATCTGAGGTGGGGGAGGGGTGCGGAGACATCAAAGGAGAAACAGAGCAAGAGATACAGGAGGAGAGAAAATCGATCCATTGTGGGCCGATGTCACATGGGGGTCCCAGGAGGTGTTGTGTCCTTGTCACTTATTGGCTGAGACAAGAGGCAACAAACTAGTGTACTCCCATTGTACACACTGGGAACATGCTGAGTCTATACTTGGTGCATACACAGTACAGGAGATGATCAGAGACTGCGGACACAGTACAGGAGATGACCAGAGACTGCAGACATAGTACAGGAGATGACCAGAGACTGCGGACACAGTACAGGAGATGACCAGAGACTGCGGACACAGTACAGGAGATGACCAGAGACTGCGGACACAGTACAGGAGATGACCAGAGACTGCGGACACGGTACAGGAGACGACCAGAGACTGCGGACACGGTACAGGAGATGACCAGAGACTGCGGACACGGTACAGGAGATGACCAGAGACTGCGGACACAGTACAGGAGACGGTGAGGACGTGTAACATGAGTCTGTTAGAGATCACTGTCATCCCCCCCCCCCCCCCCCCCCCCAGGGAGGGAGCCATAATATCAGATGACCCTTCAGCTCGGTGCGGTTTGCTGACTACAAGTGATATTCCGCTGCAGTTTCCCTCCCAGGCAGAGAATTGCGCTTTGTGTTCTGTATCTCGGGGTTATGTCTTCGCTGCGCTCTGACAGTTTTTGTTGCACAGACGCCGCCTTCGGCTCTTCTAACCCCTTTTGAAGTTCCAGGTGAAGTCTGGCCAGTGAATTCGGGGTGTCGGAGCCCCGCCCACATCTTTCAGGTGGTCTGGATAGAGTTGTCTTTTCTGTAGCTGTGCCCCCCCCCCCCCTCTCTCATTCTATGGATTGAAGTGTCAGCTCCGAGTCCCAACCTGCCGGATAATTGTCTCTTCCCAGCTGGAGGGCATGGATTCTACAAGTCACCACGAGGAAGGTCTCCTTCCTGCCCCACCCCCCACCGCCGGGCCCTCGCAAGTCTCTGCGCACGGCGGCGTTCAGTTCTTGCAGTCGCACTGTGACCCCCATGGGGGGGGGGGGGGGGTCAGGTCTATTTTGGGTTTATAGATGAGAAGAGTAATGTGACATGGAGGTGCCAATTCAGTGCTGACGGGGGGGTGAGGAGGAGGATGCCGCCATTCCTGGGCTTCACCGGAACCACGGGGGGGGGGGGGGGTAGGCAAGAGCAGCCAGGATTCATGGTAGGATGAGGTCCGGGCCCCTACCAGGTTTTTATACTGACTTCTCGGGGGAGATTTCCCATCCCTTCCTGTCACTGTGACACCAGGACAAGAAATGGCGAGGAGGGGGTCACATGGACAGGAAGTGAGAGTACGCATCTGAAATGTAGGCGGAGACCAATAAGAATCAGTGGAGGTTTCTGACCTTCCTGGAGTGTCGTGGCTGGAGATGAGCTTAAAGAGAACCTGTCACAAGCGAGCACCTCTACTGATGGATGGTCTGCTTACCTCTCCCGATTGCCCCTCCCACTCATTAATATGTAAATTACATTCTTAACCCCTCCCCCTCCAGAGGATTCCCCTCCCCCTTTCTTGACTAGGCCATTTGTTGTGTTACGGCGCTGCGTTACTTTAACTGACAATTGCGCGGTCGTGCAACGCTGCACCCAAATTAATTTCCATCCTTTCTTTCCCACGAATTCAGCTTTCCTTCAGTGGTATTGGATCCCCTGCGAGGTTTTATTTTTTTTGCGATATAAACAAAAAAAAGACCGACAGTTTTCAGGAAAAAAAAACAATATTTTGGACTTTTTGCTATTAAACATCCAGTAAAAATTTTTTTAAAAAAATCACATTTTGTCAAATTTTTGCTCCATGTCTTCGCTGAAAACAATCCCGATACGTGGAAATTAATTGGTTTACGTGAAAGTTCTAGCGCCTACAAATGGCGGGACAGATATTGGGATTTTTTTTACTAGTAATGGCGGCGATCAGTGACTTATAGCGGGACTGCAGCGATTATTCTGACACTGGGGGGGGGGGGACTGACTTGGTGTCACTGATATCCCCAGTGACACCAATACAGTGATCAGTGCTAATACAAAGCACTGACACTGTACTAATGGCACTGGGCAGGAAGGGGTTAACATGAGGGGCCATCAAAGGGTTAACTGTGTGCTGTGTTACTCAGGAGTCATGCTGCTGTGCAGAGATACAAAGCAGCATGTCCTTGCTGGCAGGAGAGATCTGTGTTGTAGACATACAAGTCTGTCCCCCGGTGGTGATACATGGTGATCGGCAGGTGTCGGCGGGGAATCGCAGGCCGAGACCCAGTGATCAACAGGTGAGGCCGCCACCCGGAAATGCAAACGTGATTTTGCACACCCCTGCCGCCCTATTGCCGTGATTCTGCTATATGGCGGCGGGAAAACGGTAAATAAACTTTTTCTGTTTTCATTGCATACCTTATTTTAGGCCCAGTGACATCATCTCTGGGTCTCTGTGCTTCTCTATGCAATGCTGGCAGATCATGGCTGGTGGGAGGGGCCGGCAGCGGGCTGTACATAGCTTCCTGAAAACAGCACAGAACCCCGCCTCAGTACTCCTCTCAAGAGCCCTCAGTGCTGATGCAAGCAATGGGAGGAGTTATGCAAATATCAAAAAGCCTTGATGGGTGGGTGTCTGTCTGGAGGAGTGGGTGTTCCTAGGAAGGCTTCATTTGCATAGGTAACTCCCACATATGTTGCAGAGCCTTCAATGAATGAAAGGGGCGGGGCCAGAGACAGGCTGGGGAGGAAAGTCCTAGATGATGCTGGATGTCCTCCAGCCAGGAAATAAGGCGGAGCTCTATCTGACTGGATGCAGCTTCCAATGCACATTGTGAGAAGCTCCCAGTGTGCAGTGACATCAGAGTAACCAGGGGAGGAGCCGGTACACCTGTGCAAGACTGGAGGGGAGGAGCCGCCACACCTGTGCAAGACTGGAGGGGAGGAGCCAGTACACCTGTCCAAGACTAAAGGGGAGGAGCCGCCACGCCTGTGCAAGACTGGAGGGGAGGAGCCGCCACGCCTGTGCAAGACTGGAGGGGAGGAGCCGCCACGCCTGTGCAAGACTGGAGGGGAGGAGCCGCCACGCCTGTGCAAGACTGGAGGGGAGGAGCCGCCACGCCTGTGCAAGACTGGAGGGGAGGAGCCGCCACGCCTGTGCAAGACTGGAGGGGAGGAGCCGGTACACCTGTGCAAGACTGGAGGGGAGGAGCCGGTACACCTGTGCAAGACTGAAGGGGAGGAGCCGGTACACCTGTGCAAGACTGAAGGGGAGGAGCCGGTACACCTGTGCAAGACTGGAGGGGAGGAGCCGGTACACCTGTGCAAGACTGGAGGGGAGGAGCCGCCACGCCTGTGCAAGACTGGAGGGGAGGAGCCGCCACGCCTGTGCAAGACTGGAGGGGAGGAGCCGCCACGCCTGTGCAAGACTGGAGGGGAGGAGCCGCCACGCCTGTGCAAGACTGGAGGGGAGGAGCCGCCACGCCTGTGCAAGACTGGAGGGGAGGAGCCGGTACACCTGTGCAAGACTGGAGGGGAGGAGCCGGTACACCTGTGCAAGACTGAAGGGGAGGAGCCGGTACACCTGTGCAAGACTGAAGGGGAGGAGCCGGTACACCTGTGCAAGACTGAAGAGGAGTCTGAAGGTCGGATGACGCAGTGGGAGGGGCTCAGGAGGAGAGGCGGGACAAGAAGATGCAGCTGAAGTTCTGAGCAGATCTCGTTATCAGAAGACGAAGTGATGAGACGTTTCATTATTTCTCCATTTGTATTTATTTTACATGAAGGAAAATGCAGCAGGAAGAGTGAGACTCTCTGAGAATTTGGGGGCGGGGGGTTTGTCATTGATGGGGAATTCGGCTCGGCAGTGTGCGCCTGTTCCCGCCACACCCGCTCAGGGCGGATTTTATCAGAAAAGCTGGATAGGGAAATGAAATCTTCGATATGAATATGTTTTGTCGCCGCCATTCTGCCCCCCTTCCCCCCAGCAGATGTTTTATTTATGAGCGGAGGTGGGATGGACAGCAGGACAAACATTGGAGGTGACAGCCGGTGCGGCAGGAAATGGGGGCCGGGCTCCCATGGGGCCCCGGGAGGTGCGGCACCTGTCTGCCCTGACATCACCCTCTCAGGTTGCCTGGAAACGCTGATCCACTTTCACCGCTTGCAGGAGGAGAGACGCGACGAGTGACTGCCGCACAACAGAGGATGGACTCGGCCTCCCTGATCACCCCCCCGGGGGCCACACAGGAGGGGCCAGTCCCTCTGCACTGAGGATCTTTTACAAACTGACATTTTTGTTTCTATCATAAATTACATTTTGACTTTTCCTTTTTTGTTGCATTTCGGTGCTGCTGATCTCCTGCAGCCTCTTTGCTGCCACTTCCTGCGATGGGTGGGCGGGATTTCTGACGGTGACAATACTGGACCCTGTCTGTGGTCACTTGTAGTCTCCATTGGAAGCTGGTGTGGTAGGGTGACAACGCAGGAGCACATTTGGGTGACAGGGACAAAGCGTTGTCATCCTGTAACAGGAAGTGCCTGGACATGGATCTTCATGGCGGGATCACCGGGGATTATTTCATTGAAAGCTTCACATTGACAAATATCGGGTTTTGGAATGACGTGAACATGTTAAAGCTGAAGTTTAATCTGCTTCCTCCTCCCCCTCTCCTCTCCCCCCTCTCTCCTCCTCCGCTCCCCCCCCCTTCGTTCCCCCTCCCCTCTTCCTCCTTCCCCATCATCCCCCATCAAGATTTTTTGAAACAAATCCTTTACATTTTCATTACAGACCTTATTTTAGTCACTGGCTCTCTGTGCTTCTCTATGCAACACAGGCAGATCATGGCTGGTGGGAGGGGCCAGCAAGGCGCTTCCTAAAAACCTCACAGTACTCTGCCTCTGTAGTCCTCTCAAGAGCCCTGATGTAAGCAGTGGGCGGGCTCTTGGGAGGAGTTATGCCTTGATGGGCGGGTGTCAGTCTGGAGGAGTGGGGGGTCCTGGGCAAAGGCCGTATAGGTAGGTGATGCCTGAAGAAAGATGGCGCCGTCCTTCTGGAGAGGAATGAAGCCGTTGGGGGGGGGGGGGGGTGTGAAGGGACACGGATGCATTATTATCACTGACATGCGACCCTCTTTAACCCCCGAGCTGCCAGTGAGGTGTCAGTAGATTGGGCAGCCTTGGCCCCCGGGGGCCCCGTCCTCTCTCCCAGCCCGGCTCGGCCTTATAACAACATTCCTCCAGGAAGCGGACAATGGCGGCACTGTGCGCCCGGACAGGATTCCCTGTGTACTGCGAGCCGCGCGCGCCGCGCACAGAGCCGCCATTGTGCCGCCAGAGACAATATTATTCTGTCCCCGCAATGGCGGCCCATTTATAGTACCCCCCCCCCCCCCCCCCCGCCTCCAACCCACTGTTTACGTTACGGGGCGGTAAAAAATGTCCCCGCGCGGATGGTGGCGAGCCTGGAATGGCGAACGGCGGCCGGCCGAAGTTTATCCAAAGCTGCGTCTCAACGTAACGAGCGGAAATCATCCGAAGGAAAGCGGATCCGATACTTTGTATCCGAGAGAATTGCAGCTCCGCGGAGGAGAATATCGGCAGATACAATGTTACTCCTCACATGGCTCATGCAGGACACACACGGGTCCAATTGTAGGACGAAAAATCCTTCGCAATTCAAACCGTCGTTCGCTCGGTAATCCGATGCGCCATCAATGATTTCGAAAATCGGCCGACCGAGTCATAAAGTTCCCCCCATATAAGGCCGGCCATACATGGGTCAAAAATCAGCCGATTTATTTATTTATTTATTTTGTCCGAAAATTGGACCTAAGAATAATAGGCCGATTTTCGCTCTGTTAGTGGGGTCAATGGCACCGGCCGATTTTCATATCTCCTCCCCTTTCCGGTGATCGGGCGTGTTGGAGAATTTGTGAAAAACGACCGATTTTTCGACTCCATGACTGTCAAATCGTACGATCGGTTTTCTGTAGAGAATCTGCGCCATGAGCCGCGACCTGCAAGGAGCAGAAGTCTCGCCTGTTATATGGGGGGAACTTTATGACTCGGTCGGACGATTTTTGAAATCCTTGATGGCGCCATCGGATTACCGAGCGAACGACGTTTCCGATTTTCGCACAAAAAATCTTTTGGAATTCGAACCGTCGTTCGCTTGGTAATCCGATGGTCGCCATCAATGATTTCGAAAATCGGCCGACCGAGTCATAAAGTTCACCCAATATAAGGCCGGCCATACATGGGTCAAAATTCAATCGATTTTTTTTTTTTCATCTAAAATCGACCTAAGAATAATCGGCCGATTTTCACTGTTCGTGGGGTCAATGGCACCAGCCAATGGCTCCTCCCCTTTTCGGTGATTGGAAATGTTGGAAAATTCATGAAAAACAACTGATTTTCGACTCAATGATGGTCAAAGCGTATGATCGTTTTTCCGAAAAGAATATGCGCATTAAGGCTTGGCCATACATGGGTCGAAAATCGACCGATTTTTTTTTTTTTTTTTTTTTTTTTTTTTCTTTTTGGTCTGAAAATCAGAACTAAGAATAATCAGCCAATTTTTGCTCTGTTAGTGGGGTGAATGACACCGGACAATTTTCATGGCTCCTCCCCTTTTCTGCGATTGGACATGTTGGAAAATTCATGAAAAACAAATGATTTTTAACTCGATGCCCAATGAGACATGGATGTAAACGGGTGGTAAACTGATGAAAATGATGGTAAACGGATGAAAAGCGGATAGTAAACTTGAAAAACAGATTGTAAACGGATGGTAAATTGATGAGAAGTGTATGTAAACAGATGGAAAACGGATGAAAAGCGGATGTAAACAGATGGAAAGCGGATGTAAACAGATGGAAAGCGGATGTAAACAGATGGAAAGCGGATGTAAACAGATGGAAAGCGGATGTAAATAGATGGAAAGCGGATGCAAAGCGGATGGAAAGTGGATGTAAACAGATGGAAAGCGGATGTAAACAGATGGAAAGCGGATGTAAACAGATGGAAAGCGGATGTAAACAGATGGAAAGCGGATGTAAACAGATGGAAAGCGGATGTAAACAGATGGAAAGCGGATGTAAATAGATGGAAAGCGGATGCAAAGCGGATGCAAAGCGGATGTAAACAGATGGAAAGCGGATGCAAAGCGGATGTAAATACAGATGGAAAGCGGATGCAAAGCGGATGTAAACAGATGGAAAGCGGATGTAAACGGATGGAAAGCGGATGCAAAGCGGATGTAAACAGATGGAAAGCGGATGGAAAGAGCGGATGGAAAGCGGATGGAAAGCGGATGGAAAGCGGATGTAAACGGATGGAAAGCGGATGGAAAGCGGATGTAAACGGATGGAAAGCGGATGGAAAGCGGATGTAAACGGATGGAAAGCGGATGTAAACGGATGGAAAGCGGATGGAAAGTGGATGTAAACAGATGGAAAGCGGATGTAAATAGATGGAAAGCGGATGCAAAGCGGATGTAAACAGATGGAAAGCGGATGTAAATAGATGGAAAGCGGATGGAAAGCGTATGTAAACGGATGGAAAGCGGATGCAAAGCGGATGTAAACAGATGGAAAGCGGATGTAAACGGATGGAAAGCGGATGTAAACGGATGGGAAACGGATGGAAAGCGGATGGAAACAGATGAGAAATGGATGTAAAAACGGACGTAAATGGATGGAAAATGGAGGGTAAAAGTGAAGTCTTGATCCATTTTTAGCTCCGATTTTGAAAAAAAACCCGGTGACTAAATTGATGAAAAAGCGCCGCGCCCGTGTGGAAGGACCTGGAATCGTATGGCGCTCTGCACGCGGCTCCGTTGCGCTTCCATTGCGGTGAATAAAGATCCCGCTTGCTGCATTTTTGGAACGTTTCATCCAGTTAAAGAAAAAAAAAAAACACTCCTCCCATTGAAATGATTGCAAACCGCATGAGAAATGCAACGCGCTGCGACAAGAACGCACATAGATGTGAACAGTGAGAGCAGCGCCGGGTTCTGCGGCAGACATGCGACTTTAGTGATGGCGCACAGGTGAGTTCTTCGTGCCGCCGGCACCTGGAGGTGTCCTATGGGGCCCCAATCCCCCCCCCCCAGTGTGTCCCATACCAGCCGGCATGACGGATTTACATCTTTCATTAACATACTCCCTGGTGATCCTGCCAGTTCCAGGCACTTCCTGTCATCGGGTGACAACGCTCTGTCCCCGCTTCCTAGCTGGGCTCTTGCGTTGTCCCCCGGTCACACAGGCTTCTGATGGTGACTACAGGCAGCAAGTGACACAGACTTGGTCCACT